AAATTTATATAAGCTGTAAGTGTATACATTAAGTATTGTCAGTAGTTTTCTCTGGAGAATCAGACCTAGAAAATGTTTATTTACTAACCCCAAATCTCTAAAACTTCAATTTTCTTACAAACACCTATGTCAGGAGAAAAAAACAGAAATCAACACAATGATCTTTTCATTCCCACAGGTTCCATGACATATATCCCTATTCCTAACTCTCTACCTCTCTTACTTCAAAAATCACCTAAATGTATCATTCCCAGTAGTCCTAATTCCAACATGTGAATTAATCCCTTTCTACCTTTTCCACTCAATAGCCCTTTCACATTTCCAGGGACATTTTAAAGTCATCATGTCCTCTTTCTTGTCTTTACCAGGTTCATACCTCTGGGTCCTTCAGTTGTCAATAAAAAAATAAATGAAACAGTTAATCTGATCTCCCCTCTACAGTTATCTGGATGCTCTTCCTAATGGTTCTCCCCCAAATACATAGAATATAGAGGCCCCAGATAATGATATTACTAGTTAGGTCTGGCCAGGCAAACTATAACATGTTTCCGTTAGGTACTGTGCCTCCCCTAACGGAGTCTTTAATTTGAAAACAGCTTTGTTAGCAGATGTGATGTAAAATTCATACAGCTGAAGTGTGGTCCATCTACCACCTCCAGATCATTCCTCTTTCTTACATATTATTAAACCTAAACGCAAAGTTTAACATTTATCACTATTAAATTCCATCTATTTGTTTCAGCCTTTTATTTCAGGTATGAAGATTTTTTTTAAAAAATGTAATACATTGTCCAAAATATTAGTTATTATTAGTTCTTCCTAGCTTTATGTCAAACACTAGATGTTTATTTTTTAAACATTTTTATTGTGGTAAAATACATAATAAAGTATTCACCCTTCTGATGACTTTAAAGTATGCTATTCAGCGATGCTCAGTACATTCAGCGCATCATCGCTGTGCATCTTCAGAATTTTTTCAAATTCCCAAACTGAAACTCTGTACCCATTAAACAGTAATTCCCTTGGGGCTGGGGATTTAGCTCAGCGGCAAAAGCGCCTGCCTGGCAAGCGCAAGGTCGTGAGTTCGGTTCCTGGTACCGGAGAAAAACCAAAAAATAAAAATAAAATAAAAAAAAAATAAACAGTAATTCCCATTATTGCTTCTGCTCAGCCCTTGGTAATCTATTATCCTATTTTCTGCCCCTATGAATTGTATCATGATTATGATGATGATGATTACAGGTACCTTATCTAAGGAAAATCATATGATAAACTTGCTTTTCAAAGAAAATCTACTTAAGAACAAAATACTGACTACAGTGGACATGGTAATTCTATTAGTTGACAGCTATTTTATTATCATAACCCATGTCCAACTCTTTAACTGTTTCCTTTTCTGGTACTGAAAGAAAATCAAGCAAACTTAAAGAAAGGGAGATGGCTCATCTAAGGTAATTCCACCACACAAACTGAAGGAGACATTATGTGAGCAAAAAGGGATATGACACAGTAACCAAACTGCAAGTAGGTTAAATCTGGACTTGAACTCCAAAACGAAAACTGAGAAAGGGCTTACAGGAGTTTTGCTATGTTTGCAAATTATGGAAATGGTCATATCAGGCAATCTATGTTAAACAGTGATGTTGAATAAATTCTAAAAAGAACACATGTGCGTATATGTGTGAATATGTGAATGTAAACATACTACATGTACTTTATAAACCAATCACTTGATACTGTTACTATGGCCAATCCCTCAATTAATAATGAGCTATAAACTACTTGTATATTCGTGCTTCCACACAAATGTCTATCAATTATGGGTTACAAGTGAGTTATAGAAATTCAGTAAAACATTTAATTCCCCAACTTACTTCAGCCAGCTTGCTGCTCATTAGTGTAGAAAAATCTTTTATTTAAAAATCTTTTATTTCAGTAGGAAAAAAATTATTTAGTAAGTTATTCATGTTTTAAAACTAATTTTCATTATTTAGGTGTTTACCATGGTTTACTAAGTATAAATTTAGTGGTAAATAAAAACTCATACTGACATTAACAGCCAGTCTTGCTTTGAGAGCTATACTAGGTGACTATTTTTAACATCAACCCAGCTAATTTTAACATTTTGTTATCTTTTGAAATGTTGCTCTAACCGTTGCTACAGTTATCTAAATTTTTTAGATACCCTAATGAAAAGAAAAGGAAGAGGTACACTAGTTAAGGATAGTTGAGAATAGGCAATGTTTTTAAAACAAGAGTTTTTCTTCTGTAACACTTAAAAGAAAAAATATTAGTGAGTGGCATTTATTTTAGGCATTGTTGCGAAGATTATTTTAGACTAAATCAGACTCCACTGAATCTGACATAACAGATCTCTCACTTTAATAGTACTTTGTACATGTTTCCTTGCAAATGCCTTTAAAATATAAACACTGAGCTAAAGCACTAAACAAAAAACAGATTCGCACCTAATTTAAAGCATTACACTGCACCTAGTATCCTTCAGTAAGTGTACAAAGACCCATCAGAATCCAAGTTTTCTTCCTAAATTGCAGCAGAAGGGTTTAATGACTAGATGTCAGAGCAGTGCAATAATGCAGAAGGATGCACACTCAGTGATTTTTGAATTTACGTGTTTTCCAAATGTAAAGCATTATACACAAGCCTGGTTTGACTGTAGACGGAGGAGGCCATTCACTGGGAATGGAGAAAAGAGAGCACACTGGCAAAGTTAGTAAGGGTGACAAAGGACAGTGGATTATCCTTGGAAATGCCATCAAGCTGTAATGAGTTCATTTCCTTTCCCATAAGAGATCAGTCTGCTATGCTTTCCTTGATAACTAGTATTTTGCTCTAAGGGTGAAAGCCGAACATCAAGGCGAAAATCTGAAAGATTTTTACTTATCTACATAGTCAGAAGAGGGTTTTTTTAAAGCTCTAAATTACTGTGCAAGAAACTTTTAACTCCAGAAAATATAGCAGAGGGAGATACAAAAATTGTGATGGAGACATTATATAACCTACACGGAACATATAAATCCCTAAATCCAAACGGATTTTATTATTCAACTATTTTTGCTGTAGAACATATATTTAAAACCTGCAGAAAGGGTGCTTCTATTCACCACTTCACATCTTTTTAGTTCCAATAATAAAAATCACTTACGAAAATGTTTAAACAGTTTACAAGTATCAAGCCAAAGTGCTTTCCAAATACAGTATCAGTTCTCATGAGTGATCATTTACGACCATTTACCCCAGAACATAATAATTAGTTCTTTGTTAGCCTCAGAATAACAAAATTCAAAGTGAACTGGGAGTTCACTGCCTGGGAAAAATCCCTTTTACATTCAGTGTATAAATGTAAAACCTATAAGTAACATACCAACTCTATCTATAAATATTCTTCATTTCATCTTTTTCTCTATTTTGCTTTGCTATGAATAGATTCACCTTAGATGATTTTTTCATACTAAACGACAAAACACAGGAAGATATATTAAAACAGTAACCATCTCTAGAAAAAAGTTGCAATGGATTCTTCTGCTTATTAACTTAATGAATAACACAACCATTAATTTATTTTTCAAAACTCTGGCATGCATTTCATTTTTTTAAAGCATAAACATCAAAGAGAAACTAGTATTCATCTCACATAATAAACACTCAGCTCGCCAATCCACACACAGCCAGCCATTTGCCACGTCTTGTGGTTTCAGTGGCCAAGACAGAACAGTTCAAATTAAGACAAAATAGTTCAAATTATTTGCATTTTTAAAAGTCTGTTATTAAAAAAATGGGGGGCGGGCCTGGGGATGTAGCTTAGTGGTAGAGCAATTGCCTTGCATGCACAAAGCCCTGAGTTCAATCCCCAGCCCTGCAAAAAAACAGAAAACAAAAAAAGAGAAAAGTCTGTTATTTATTCTTCTTATAGTACACTATTAGTGACTCATTCATAGAATATATTTCTAAATTGAAGCACAATATTAAACTTATATACATCCTTACCAGAATTAACTGATACTTTATTAAAGGGTTTGTATGTCTTTTTAGCGGAAGTACTTAGGAAACAAGACCTATAAATGGCAGGCATCTGTATTTCATAACTATGCATAATCTATTAAAAATTTTAAAGGAGGACATAGAATAGAAAATGTCATAAAAATGGCCTATTATTTCAGAAAAATAAAGTGATTATGAATACCATTTGATACATAAGAATATATTAAAAGAAGCATGCTTTCTAAAATCCTTATTAACTGTTTAATTTGCGGCTTTAAGTAGATAATAGGAGAGATGCTCTGATATATTTTAATATATCTGATTCTTATAGAGATGAACCCAAATCAACTTCTTATTTACTAGCTACCTTTATGTGGGTCCAAAAAAGAATATTATTAATATATACTTATATAGATTTTTGAAAATAATTGTAAATATCCAGTAGCATGTAGATTTTAGTTAAAAAAAAAAAGCCAGAGGTTATACAAGGTTTTAAAAGAGAGAAAATATGGAATTCCATACTATATCTATTACACAAAATTCTAGTTGACTCTTATTACTTACAAATCTAAATCTTGAGCTTGTTGGTATAGCATATCCAGGTTAAAAAATAATGACTATGAAGAAAGCTAACAAACATGCAAGAGATATAAAGCTGTATATGAAGAAAAATAATTTTAGGCAGAGACTTTAATATTCTTCAGCATCTGAGATTTGTTTTAAGAATTCTCTATTAGCTTCATTCCTCAGCCAGGCACAGTAGGCCTACCGCGATTCACAACTTCTTGGGAGGTTGAGGCAGGAGGGCTGCTTGAGCCCTAAAGCTCAGGGCCAGCCCAGGCAAAACAGTGAGATACCACCTCTTAAAAAAATCAGTCTTGGAATTCTGATAAAGTGTCTAAGCAAGATTCCCCTACTGCTTCAACCTACTTAAACGTAATTTTGCATGCACAACAATCTTGTCTGCCGGTTAGGCTACTGTAAATCCTGGCACTCACCAATACAAAGCAGTATGCATACAGCGCCGTACAATGATGAATTATGAAAAATTTGTCACCAATCACTTTCCAATAGCAAATGATAATCAACAAATCTGTAAGAAGGACAAATAAATAAGCTATTACACAGGAAGAAAGCTGCATTACTTTTCAAGTATATTCAATTCTTCATCATCCAGTCTGGGCCATAACACTTTATTTACCTCCCAGCTAATCCAATTACCCACTTTCTCATACAGTATCTCCTCCAGTATATGTGAATCACTTATGGTGCTTCCTTCAGGACAAGGACCAAATGACGTCTTTATACCTCAGAATCTAGCAGTTGCTGAAAGTACATGTGAATAACTTGTGTCCAGGATTATATAAATGAAAATACTTTCACATAAGAGTTTAAAGTAAGGTTAAATTACTGATTTTTATAACTACAATAATGGAAATGGATAAAATCATGGTAGAATATAAAATAACTAATTCATTTATAAGTTTAACATAAATTTTTTAAATTAACAAAGAATGCAATAATTAATTCAAAGTAGTAAAATCACCAAGAACTATGATTATTAAAAAAGCATACAAAGAAAAAGATGAAGGCATCCCTTTAAAAAGTTTTAAGTCTAAATATCATGATCCAGAAAAGTAGTTCAACAAAATGAAAACTGTCAAAATATTAACACAACTATTTTCTTTACAAAATGGTTAAACATGAACTATAAACAGGGAAACTCCATCATGAACGGAGACCAGGGCAGGTATCAGAGGTTTTGTGGGTGCAGAGCTATACAATGCAGGAATTTTCTTTTATAAAAATAAGAATTACTAACAAAAAACTAGATATGAATATTTAAAAAGAGGAATCAAGTCACAAATTTTAAAGAGAAACAAAATACTACCCAAAAATGTAGAAAATCAAGAATAATAGTTTTAGTAGTTAACTTCCTGATACCCCACTCCAAATTATTTTCTCTACATATTTTAACTGTATACTCTTTAGTCACCAATTTATATGACAATGATTTTGTAATAGGTTCTACAGAGCATAAAATAAATTCACTTTTTATAGCACTAGGGATTGAACCCAGGATTTTCTGCATGCTAGGTAAATACTCTAGTCCTGGGCCATAGTCCTAGCCCAATAAATTCATTTTTGATTTGAAAAATTTGTTTCACTTCATTACTCTTGATTGTGCTTTCTTTTTGATTTGTTGCCTTCTTTGGGAAAATTTTAATAAAGTGTCTTTCATATAAGATCTCCTGATAGATAATAGGAGGTAGGAAGATATATCTTTCTCAAAGGGGAAGGGGATCAAGAAACAGAGGGAGGGAGGAGGGGGGAGGGGTACCAGATGTAAAAAATGAGCTGCAATGTGTTACACACATGTACCAACTACACACAAGGAATGTAAACATTACGTGCTGCAAACATGTACCCCCGAAAGGGGGATCACTGGATGTCTAAACGGGAGAGGGAGGGAAGGGAAAGAGATGAAAACAGGAACTAAGGTGTGTGATGTACATGTACCAACTTCTCACAAGGAATGCGAACATGTACTACACATGTATACTAATAAACTAAAATGTAAAAAAAAGAAATTCAAAATGCCAGAATAATATCAAAAACAAACTGAAAATATTAGCAGTGTTACTTATAGACAGTAGAATGATGTATGATTTTTATTTTGTTCTTTATACTTTGTTCCACTTCCCAAATATTCCACTATAACATCTTTTATATTCAGAAAATATTATTTTAAGACAAAGAAATAATTATAGCAAAAATAAGTCAGTAGATGCTCAGAACTGTTTATTAACTCATTCAGAGAGAATAATCAGATTTTGAATTTGTTCCTATGCTTTTTGTTATGCTAAGGACTATTCTCAGACTGTATTTATATCAAACCTGTAAAAATGGGCTTAATCTCAAGTACAAGTCCCGAAACATGTTGGGGGGAACTGTACACCTATCTGACACAAAGTTGTAGCTGAAACCAAAAAGCAAACACAATCAGAAAAGATCTCCCAGGGATAATTATTCTCTGAAATGACAGCACTCATTTGCCAGTGCATGCAGCATATCATACATTCTGTGTTAGCCTTGTCAATGATACTATTTTCATGAGACAAGCAAATCTTTTTCCAATGTATTCATGATTTACTTTTTTAATTGGACTACCCAATAATCCAGTCACCTACTATTTCTCTTCAAACTTTATCTCTTCCTCTTAATGAATTACTTGCTTTGACATAATCTAATTTTTTTTACAATTTATTTCTTGACGGCACAAAATTTCCCACTGAATTAATCACTTTTATCATTTTTGCTTCATATTTCAATATTTTTATTTGGTTTCTTTCAGTCACTTTATAAGTTTACAATTTACTAAATGGTTCCTACACAAATATCCAAATTATGGCTCTGAGTGTCTCTCTTGTTTTATTAAGAAGGTCTAAATGTCTTTTCAAACTACAGTTAATATGGAATATTCTCAACTTCCCTTGGCCTCACTGTAAGAAAAGCCACTTCAGTTCCATGCAACATCAGACAGTATAACAGAGAGTAATCTTAACTATTAGTTAAAGTAACTTACTTTTGCAAATTTCATCAAAACAATATCAAACTATAGCCAATGGGACATATAATAAGGCCCCTAGCAAGTGAGGAATCCTGAGGCTTAAACTTCATTAGCTTCACAGAAATATACTTTAGAAATTCTTAAGAAGAAAAAACCGTATCTTTCAAAAAAATCAAAAAACAAAAAAAGTCCAGGCCTACGTAGTTTAAGGTCCTGCTGTACAACTCAGATCTTCAGTGGGAATCAGGAAGCCAAGAAAAAGTTTCACGCCTTATCACCATCAGACATTATTTTCATCTATATCGATTCTAAAAGCTATTCTCAAATAAACTAAAAGCACAGAGCATGTACTTTTGCATAATCTATGAATAGCTTGAGTAGAAACAGAGAGCGAGCAACACACCACATACCAGAAATGAGGTAGCCTGAAGCAATAGCAATATTCAGTTTCACAAGTGACGAGTCGCCCCTATAAATATTAAGAAAAAAGAGTTTTTAAAGTGTATGGCTTACAGATGACAGCTGTTTTTTTTCTGTGAGGTTTAAATGTAATGACCATCATTGTTGACTGTCATCGTTTTTTTTGCCACTCCTGTCTCGTAAGCCTTCAGTTAACACTTGATTTAATGGAGACTTCATGAAGCCCAACCCACAAGAAGTCACGGCTTGGGAGAACACGTGAGGGAATAAAATCACTGGCAGATGTGCTGCCAGCACCCTAGGAGCAGCCCACAGGGAGAAGCAGCACCCACTTAAGGAGGGCTCTGCTGCCGGACATCAGAGACTGGGGCCAATGGTTCTAAAGGAAGTAGCGTCGCAAGGAATTCAGGCTGAATTTGGGGTTTGTTATACGCTCCAGAACTGCATTTGAATAAATGTAGATTTTTGTACATAAAGAAATGTAGACTTTTTATACATGAATAAAAGAATGTGGACCGCTGTGCATGAAAAAAAGAAGACATCCCTAAAAGTAAACCCTATTGCATCTTTTGGAGCAAAAATTAATATAATACCTGGTCTGAGTTTCAGGGAAACATAGTAAATTCCTCTCACATGTCCATCTGTTCCTCATTTCATTTTTTTAATATCAAAACAATGAGTCAATAATAAATTTGAAGGCAAAGCCTTAAGTAGACATTAACCTAGCCAATATACTACTTCAAAGACTCAGATTTGCCATGGCAAAGATTACAGTAACTTGGCTTTGTTCACTAACACTACATGAATGCTGATCTATTGTAGTCTATTTGTTTTGAACAACTCTTACAATATTCATAAGAATGGCCTTGTCATTTGTACTCAAATCTAAACTCATGTTAATGTACTTTGCTAAAATAAGCCTAACTGCAAGCATTTCAATAAAGCATATACCGTCAATATATTGTGTTTTAAAGTATAAAGTGACACATATTAACAATTTGAAAGCATAGATCAAATTAGAAAGAAAAATAGCTTACCAAAGTGGGTCAGCTCTAGTAGCCTCATCAAAGAAGAAAACATATAGGCCCAAAATCCCAACCACCAAAGAATGGCATGTAGATACTACCCTGAAATTAAACAAAGTGCATATTAAGATTTTAGATTCCTTGTAATAAGCTTTAACTCGTTCTGATAAGTTATTTAACATTCCGAAAAATTATACAGTACTTCACAGCATTAACCCATAGAGGGAGAGAACATCTGAGAGAACAATAAAAAATTGCCATTTAGAAATCTGAGGGTCACAACTTTACTTTGGAATAAGTAAGCGGAAGAATGCCAAGGTCCATAATTTCATGCCAGAAAACTAGTGAATCATTTCTTGGCCGAAAGTTATAAAGCAGAGGAGCACGTGGTGACGCAGTTAGTAGTCCCGTACAGTGACGGCGCCGGCAAGGCCATTACGCTGCCCCCGCTCTGCGTTCCACCCGCAGCAGCGCTGCCGTAGGGGGTCTTCGGCCCCACTCAGCTAAGGACGACTCTCCAGGCTCCCGGCCTTTCACAGCTCTTGTTCTTTGCTGCCGTCTGTTGCAGTGAGCCAATGGTCTCACAAGTGCTAGTCACGCTCTCTTCCGCTGAGCCACAGCTCCCGCGCACCCACTCCACATTCTTAAGACAATCTGAATGGATCATGACATGGAGATTTATTATCCTGGGAAATTTCAGTTTTAAAAGTACATTTATGGGCCGGGGATATAGCTCAGTGGCATAAGCGCCTGCCTGGCAAGCACAAGGTCCTGAGTTCGATTCCCAGTACCAAAAAAAAAAAAAAAGTACATTTACACGCATTATTGAACTTGACTCATGTAAGCACTTCAAAATAGAAAAACTGAGGACCATAAGCTTACGTGCTTTTGCTACTTTTCTATTGATTTGATATGAGGCCTTGCTGTGTTGCACAGGCTGGCCCCAAACTCCTAGAATCATCCCAAGTAGCTGGGACTACAGACATGCACCGTCACACAGAGCGAGAAAATCTATGTTTGAAATGAAACACTCAGTGAGTGCAAAGTGTTCACAAGATTCAGGTTTTTTCTTTTGTAGAAGGAATAAAGGTTAGAAGAAAAATATCAGTTTCTATGAATTATCTTTCTCATAATTTAATGATTGAATCCAAACTTTAGGATCTTCTACTTGAAGAAGTATGCAAGAGGCTGTGCAACTGTCCACACAATGAAGTTTCTTTTACCAAATAATTTCAGATTTCTCACATCTTTACTTAGAAGTTCATAAGCAAAGAAGTTTCTTTTCATCAGAACAGAGAATGAAAAAATTAACCAGTAATCACTGATGTGGAATGAATTTCTGTAATATAATCTCAGATCTTTAAAAACAAGACAAATTAAGTTTGATATTAAAAATTTCCTTGTAACTAGAAAATTCAATACATTTGATCTAATAGATGATACTCCTATTAGAGTAATACCATGCCAAGCCCAATCATATTTTATTTTGTTTGTTTTTGGTTTTTTGGTATTGGGAATAGAACTCAGGACCTTGTGCTTACCAGACAAGCACTTGTGCCACTGAGCTATATCCCCTGCCCCCAATAATATTTTAAATTCACAGAGAGTCTCACTAAGTTAGTCATTGACAAAGAATTCTCTGTAACGCCAAAGGATCATTTTGAAGTGTGAATGATTAATGCAATTTATCTGATTTACAACCCTGGAATTTTTACACTAGGCACACCTGTATTCTATTTGTGCACAGCAGGATAAAAATGTAAATCCCTTAATAACAAGTAAAACACTCCATCTAAATAATCATACAGGGGCTGGGGATTTAGCTCAGCGGCAAAAGCGCCTGCCTGGCAAGCGCAAGGTCGTGAGTTCGGTTCCCGGTACCGGAGAAAAACCAAAAAAAAAACAAAACAAAACAAAATAAATAATCATACAGACAGATCTCTGCCGCTATTCAAAACTTCTATGAAAGGAAAAAATATAACCTCTCTAACCAACCTGCTTTAGTAACTGTACATCAAAAGTTCCCTTCTGGAAAAATTCACTTTTTATTTATTTCTGGCACTCAGGTTTCAAATGCCCTTGTCTCCTGAGATGTCACATGGTCAATGGGAAGCATTACTAGCCCTGAGCTGATGGAAATTCACACAGAATTCATAAGAGAAAAGTTACATGTTACTTGGCCTGGTCAAACAGCACCCACTGTCCTGAACAGGAAAAGCAAACATCTTGCACTCACAAAATATTCTACGTTAAAAGTCCACACTTTCAGAAACTGATGTTAGTAAAAATTTCAAATTTTATTATTTAAAATTAAATTCTTGGCAATGCAAAATATAGAATCCTTAGTACCTAAAAAGAAACACTGACATAAAATATTTTCTTTTTAAAAGTGTTTGTTCTTATAAAGACAGTATTTTTAAAGAAAAGAATGGCATGTTAGAATAGCAATTTAAAGTTACTGATTTAGGTAACCACGAGTTGTATCAGTATTTCTACTACAAATCATAAAGCTCTAATAGACAAAGAAGTTAAATTTTGGAGAAACATTTGAAAATTAGTAATATTTCAACACAATAGGACACTGTATGCCACGGTGAGCAATTGAAAATAAGTACCTCAAAATTTTTAATTGTAAGATGTAGAATATATCTATAAATAAATGTTTTCAGACAAATCAACAATTAGCACGGTTTCTTACTACGCATTTTCCAGTATGTTATCCTGTTCTTTCTCTACCAGACAGTTTAGAACACCCATTGTTTGTGGCCCTTCCTCATTACCAGAGAGAATGATGCATGTTGTAATGATTTGTATGCTTCAAGATCAAAGGCTAGGGGGCTGGGGATTTAGCTCAGCGGCAAAGCACTTGCCTGGCAAGCACAAGGTCATGAGTTCGGTTCCCAGTACCAGAGAAAAACCAAAAAAAAAAAAAAAAAATTAAGGGTTAATTTTGTGCTTTACAGCTAAATGAATCATATACAATTCCACATTCTTTTTTCATATAGGAATTCGGTTTCCAAATGGCAGTGATAAGACTGCATAATACAAAATGTTTTTCAATTTAATCATTTCATTTTCATCTTTGCTTCCAACTCTGTGTATTCTTTCTACTTCCTTGGTTTGCAACTACCCAAGACTCAAACTCCTTTACCTGCCCTAATCAAAGTGAAAGGAAATACAGGTCAAAATTCAAAGCATGTATGTCTTCCCCATTCTCATCTACTTTCAAATGTCAAAAAGCTTTTAAAATAATGGTATCTGAACAACAGCCACATCTGAAGAATATCTTTGTGCAAGTCTTAAAACAAAGAATCACACCTCTTTCTTAAAAATTTGTAAACGGCCCCCCACCCTCTCGGCCCCCACCGCTCTCATGTAGAGGGACCAGGTGACCGGCTGAGCCAGCACTCTGGCTCCAGCAGAGGCCTGGGCAGGTAGGAGGCGGGCAAGTGCCTACAGGGACCCCTTGGCTCCCACACGGTGGGGTGAGGGTGCAGTGCAGAGGCTGTGACAGAGGCATGAGAGAAATCTGCATGCTAGAGGTGATCATTCAAACTAAAAGGAAAAGGAAGGAAGGAAGGAAGGAGGGACGGACATCACTCTAACACGACTCAAGTCCATTATTAATTTTTTACTGACTGTATAAAACATACCATATTTTTAAGAATGTCACAAGTGGGCTTAAGAGAGATACAACTCCATACATTCTCTACAACAACAGATTTAGACTATTTCCTAACTAGAACTTGCACAGGCATTACACGTAATTGAAAGAGATTTCTTCTCTAGTGAGGGTTGTTCTTGAGTTCTACTCTTGGATGTATTTGGATGAAATCTGGACGCATAATGGATTGTTAGCTTGTTATCACCTGAGAGGCTACCTACAAGGAAACAAGGGGCAGAGTAAGTTCAGGGTGGGAGTCAGGAAGCTCCCGAATGCACAGATAACCACATGGAGCTGGGGGACTTTCTCTGCTCCCCTGGCACCTTTATATATTTTTGTCTAATCAATAAAATTTATTAAATTTATAATATAGTATAATATAATACAAAATTGCAGAGAGGTCAATTTTAGAAAAGGGGAAATATGTGAACAAATAATTCTAGTTTTAGGGGTGAAAAGAATTACAGTATGTGTAAACCAGACACACAAGTGTGAAGTAAAACAGAAAACTAGATTTTTATTCTCAGTCTGAGTTATAAAGTGAATGCTTTCCTGGCCTTCAACTGTGTACCCCAGGCTGGCCTTGAACTTGCAGCGATCCTACTGCCTCAGCCTCCCAAACACTGGGATTATAGGTGTGTGCCACCATGCCCAGTTCGAATTTTAAAAGGAAATTTCAATGACGCATAATTATGGCAATTTTAGGAACTTGATAAATCCATTTTATAGTTAGCATTAACCCAAACTAAGTAACCATTAAAAAATCTTTCCACGAGTACAAAATGCTCTAAAGCAAGAGAAACAGTTATCAGAGTCATTTTGTACTAGAAACTTTATGAGATTAATGAGTTTTACACATATAAACACACACACACACACACACACACACACACTTGCAGACAACTTAGGAAAACTTGAGATTTCTTCACTCATATACTACTTTTTCATTATTTGTTTTAAAAAATCCAAAAGGTAGTTTTTATTCTAGAATTACATAATAAGAGAATAATTTCTACAAGATTCTAATTACAATGCAAAGTTCATTAAAAGATATAGAGGTACCAACTGTATATTATGTTTTCTGGTCTGTATAGTTCAACACCTCTAAGCCAGCCGATACTATATATAAGCTATTCATAACACCAACAAATGTTTATTTCTGTTACCATTGCCAAAGAATATGTCTCTTATAAATACTTCAAAGAAAAATTCAGAATAACACACTTGCATAATCAGCTGGTCAAATCTCCCCACACCTCCCCAGAAAGTGAAATAAATTTTACCTAACATCTTTCACTATAAATAGTTCTTAAATTGTTCTTCTATGAGATCTGTCTGCTTGTCTTTCTTTTTATTTTTAAGGTCAAACACAAAATTTGACTTTGAATTTTGTTAGATTCTAATGAAAGATTTTTTTAAAATATTTTAAATATTTTTATTTCAAAATGCTTTTTAAGTTAATTACATTTTTACATGCTTTACCTTGAGTTCCACTCGATCTTCTTTTCCAAGCTGAGGCTGCTGAAACCTGAAGAAACTTTTGCAGAAAACCAGTAACTTACAAAGTGGAAAAGAAACTGGAAGGTGAGGAAGCTGGTGCTGAGCGCGCTGACGACGAGCGTAGTGTCTGTGTCCATATTTCTTCAGCCTGGCAAGAGAAACCACCAGCATAAATTACCACCTTCAATAACCCCAGATTAACTGTTTTCATTTAAAGGAGCATATCCTTCCGTTTTTAGAGGTAAAGTCAACTACTGAAGCCAATTTTTTAGAGAAAAATCAATTCAGCACAATGTAAAAATATGAAGAAACTAAAATTTTGAGCCTTCTGCGTTTCTTCTTTTCCATCTACACACCATCTCACACTTGTGTTTGAAATAAGTAAAATCTCTTATTTTAAAGATCTCAGTACCATAAATTTCAGAAAACATTCTAAAATCGTAACATTCAAAATTATCTATGTCTTAGAGTTTAATATTAAGAGAGAGTTCCAAGTATTACAACTTAAATTATTCTTTTTAATAATATTATTTTTCATTATAATTAACACAAATTGCATGATTTCTCTGATTCAATTTCTTCATCTATAAATTGAGAATGCTGCTTAATTTCTAAGTACCAATCAAGCCAAAAACATAAAACATTTTCTGCGATAACAAAACAAAAAATAATTGCATAGCAAAAACAAAATTGTAGCCAGGGATATAGCTCAGCAGCACAGTGCCTGCCTGGCAAGCACAAGGTCCTGAGTTTGATTCCTGGTACAAAAAAAAAAAAAAAAAAAAAAATGTATATGTATGTATGTAGGACAAAAAAAGTTTAAAACAAAATTTTAAATTAAGCCAGGCTTGGTGGCTCATGCCTACAATCTCAGCACTCAGGGGGCTGAGGCAGGAGGACTGTTTTGAGTTCTAGGTCAGCCTGGGCTACACAGAGAGTTCAAGGCCAGCCTGTACTACATAGTTTTAATGGTAGAGATAGCAGAAAGAATAGCAATATGCACACATACACAAACATACACACAAACACATGTATATACCCAAAGTATGTTTTCTATCTCATTGAGCTGAACTTCATTTGGTTCCTAAAAATCTCAGAAACATTCAAGCCAAAAAAATATAATAAAGTATTCACTTATATCCAGCAAATATCACATTTCTATGGCTCCTTCTTTGATACAGTTGATTTTAAATGGAAAGGACATGAATCAACACACATTTCCAGCTGCCTAGTATGAAGAAATAAAGTCACCTACTGAAGCCAATTCACTAGAGAAAACCCAAGACACTGACTGCACAAGCAACAACCCCACTTCCAACCAGGATGTCATAATAACAATCAGTCGCCTACAGGTCCCTTCCGACAAAATTCATACATTCATAATGATTTATTTTCTCATGTTTTTTAGTGTGTGTGCTTGGTAAAATGATCAATATTGCAACTTTCCTTTGTGAGACTGCATTAACTTTATTGCTCTTTTTTCAGTTCAATATGTATTTATTGGGGATTAAAAATTTTTAATTTGTAGCCTTTTAGCTTAGGTTTAATATTAACCAAATAATACATAAAAGTTCTGTACATAAATTAAACATCATTACCATTTGCTATGTGAGACATACAGTGAAAATATTTTTCTAAGATTAAAGTAGACAGGAGACCAGAAGCCAGCGACAGACACTGGAGAAAACGGAGCCCCCCGGCAGCAGAGCACGCGAGTCCAGTCCGGGTACCGTGAGAGTCGTCCGCCTGGACGGCCCTGGGCGACCCCGGCTGGGCCTGGAGCAGCAGACGGACATGAGCTGCTCAGTTACTTCTGTTATAATCCAACACATGCCATGAGCATTTTAAGACTGTTTTTTAAAAGTTGTCATAAAAACATGAGCTGTGAGCAAAGTTATGGTCAATGTTAAATTTTTCTAATATATTAGAGAAAAAGACACATTGTCATTACTTCCCCCCCAAATCCTCCCCTTCCTTTGGGCACACTTATCCTATGGCTCCTGCCTCTTTCTAAAGCAGTTCTGGAAGTCCTTTTTGTCTGTAGTTGTGCTGTCACAGCAGCCTCCATGTCCCAAATCGATTAAAAGTATTTACCTTCTGTGCTCACTTTGACTTCGGCAAAGACCCAGAGGCTGCGTGGTGCCAGCTCTGGTGAGTGGGCTGGATGAGGGCACACCGTCATGTTTCCATGAGCCTGTCGTTCCACTGGGTGGCACTTGGCAGCTGAATTCACCAGTGTGTGCCCCTACCGTGTAAGGCACACGCAGAAGAGGACTTTGAGGTCTGCTGCAGAAAGTGGCCAGAGTGACGGGTGTGTTCGAAGGGAGGAGAAGCATTCCGAGGGGAATTAGTGGCAATGTGTCTTTTACTGTAATGTCTTTAATATGAGGCATTTTTGATCATGTATTTTCACCATATCTTTTGATCATGCCTCACTTTTATATCATGCAACATTATATAGTTTATGAATTGTTAATTTAACTAAGACATTAAGAAGTACTCAATTCAAAATTATGAAATCTATTCTTTCCCCTAAAATCTAGTTTTTACTCGGTCTTTGTTATACTGGATAAATATTTTGTATTTTAATAGACTTATATTCAGTTAGTCTTTAGGGTATATGTTTAGAGTCTCCCTTTCAAAAATGCTGTTTTTAAAACTAAATAAAGTGCTCCATATAGTCAAGCTACAGCTTCTATTAAAGGCTCAACAGACAGAAGCTGATTAAATTGTTCTTCTCTCAGCTTTGCTTCTTAATAAACAGCTGCCAAATCATGCCAAAGCAAGAACTAATCCAGAGATTCTTTTACAAATGTACCCAGAAAATTGAGACTTTTGTATGGAAGCAGCTGCCCTGTTCATTCTCTTTGGGAGCCTCAAAGAGGCAAGAAAATGTAAAACTGGAAGATTGGGGAATCTGCTCCAGAACCAAAGGACCCCCAGCACACCTGTGAGCCCGACATGCCAGTGACGGGAGAGAAGGAAGGGGCTGAGCTATCACAGGCTGCGGCAGGCACACTGCCTGGGACGCTGGATGCAAACCAGCCAGAAGACAGCACACAGCCTGCTACAGAAGCTGTGGTAGGGTCACAGACAGGAACCCCGAGGCTGAGGAACCACAGAGTAGCTTCAACTCCACTCCATGGTCCCTGAGAACGCTAGAGGCTCCTGAATATGCTCAGGAATATTCCTCCCAACCAAAAGCACAATCTTCTTATTTTTCCTTTCTCTTTTTATGATTTATTTAGGTTTTATTTTGTCTATAAACTGGAACAATCATGGACATGAACAGGAAAGGAAAAAACCAAACGATCTTTGTTTGATCTCTATATATAGAAGACCCCAAAACACCACCAGAAGACTCTTACAATTAATAATCAGCAATGCGGCAGCATACAAAGTAAACACACAAGAATCAGTACAGCTCCTATACACCAGTAACGAGCCCATAGAGAAAGAAATCAGGAAAACAAAGCCATTCACGACAGTTTCAAAAAATTAAATACCTAGGAATCAACCTAACCAAGGAAGTGAAAAGACTACAAAGAAAACTGAAGTACTTTGAAGAAAGAGATTGAAGAGGATGTTAGAAAATGGAAAGACACCCCATGTTCCTAGAGAAGTAGAACCAATATTAATAAAATGGCCGTATTACCCAAACCAATACACAGACTTAATGCAATTCCTATTAAAATTCCAATAAAATTGTTCAGAGAGCTAGAAAAATAACCCTACAATTTACATGGAACTGGAAGAGACCCAGAATAGCCAAAGAAATCCTGAGCAAAAAAAGAAAAGCAGGGGGGCTGGGGATTTAGCTCAGCGGCACAGTGCCTGTCTGGCAAGCGCAAGGTGGTGAGTTCGGTTCCCGGTACCGGAAAAGAAAAAGAGAAAAGCAGGAGGCATCACAATCTCAGATTTCAGGTTATACTACAATGCTAGAGTAACAAAAAGTGTGGTACTGATATAAAAATAGACATGTAGCTCATTAGAATAATATGGAAGACAGAATCAACCCCATCTTTGGGTTAATAATATCCCTTAGTTATTTCAGACTGATCAGGTCCACAATCTCCTTTGCTGTGCAGAAGTTCTAAATTTGAGGTAATACAGTCTGTTGATTCTTAATATTATTTCTTGTGCTATTGGAGTTCTGTTCAGGAAGTTTTTGCCTGTGCCTACAAAGTCGAGTGTTTCCTTTATGTTATCTTCCAGAAATTTTACATTTCTGGATTTATATCTAGGCATTTGATTCATTTTGATTTGATTTTAGTACAGGTTGAGTAACATGGACCTAGTTCCATTCTTCTGCATGTAGATAACCAGTTTTACTAGCACCATTTGCCGAAGAGGCCATCTTTTCTCCAGCATGTGTTTTTGGCTCCTTTGTCAAAAATCAGACGGTTAAAGGCACGTGGATGGGTGATGGAGACCACTACGAAGCAGCCCTGAGCAGGACTTAAGTTAACCAATGGGCTTGTCATGTTTACTTGTGAATCTGTCCAAAGCCTAGGCTGCTCGTCTGGAAATGGGTGGTAGACTCATAGTAAGTGATCCTTTGAGTCACTAATCCCTAATGAGGCTTATAATGGTGAAGCTGAAAAGCCTCAAAGAATAAAACAAGATCACAGCCAAAGACACCCGGATCTAACATCAACTAGATAAAGACTATAGCCTTAAGCATCTCACTCCTGGGTGGATTAACTTAATACCTTACTTACAGAGTGACTGGAGCAACAGTTCTTACAAAACCTACAAAATTTAGCCAGCTATTCTTCCAAGAAAGGACCAATACCTAGAATATATAAAGAACTCCAAAAAGTAACCCCCCCAAAAACAAACTAAAATTATAATCCAAATCAAAACAACAGGGAAGTTAACTGGAAAGATACTTCTCCAAAAAGTAAGCACAAATAGTCAGTAAGTACATGAAACAATATTCAGCATCTTTAGCCACTAGGCAAATGTAAATCAAAACAACTGTGAGAGTCCATTTTACTTCAGTCAGAAGGTTATCACCAAGAACACAAAAAACAACAAATGCTGCAAGGATATGGGGAAAAGGAACCCTTCTACACTGTTGGTGGGAGTGTAAATTAGTACAGCCACTATGGAAGTCAGTGTGGAGCTTCCCCAAAAACTAAAACT